CAAATAATACACTTATAAAGAATGAAATTTCTTTATTCACTAAACGCGCTTACATGTTTCGACTTATTTTTGAGCCTTCCTCAGAGCAAACACATTCTTTATAAGTGTATTATTTGGGCGACATCTTCTGCGCCCGACTCCTAGTGCCCTTACTCTTTCCAATTCTTAAATAATTATATATTTTTCAATTGAATGAAGGTTGAAAATTTTGATTTAATATATTTTTACCAATCTTTGTCAACAGTTCAAGTTGTTAGAAGTTTACATGAAAAAAAAAAAACAAAAATAAACATGTTAAACTTTGCACTTCAATATTCAAAAATTTGAAGACAATAATATACATTAATTTATTTTAAAATTAGGTATTACATCAATTTGAAGACAAAAACACAATGCTGCGACGACGGTGATGAGACGCACAATGTGAGGAGAAAGTTTTATCTGCCAGGTTCACCAGCCGGCAAAGGTGCCAAATGGGAATGGACAGGTGACTCGGATGATTGGCATACTTATGACATGGAAGTACAATGTCTTATAGAAGAAGCATGGGCGAGAGTAAGCAGACAAATATTTCCAAAGTAAACAATTTTTGTGCTCGAGTCTTCTAATGAAAAAAAAATTTTTTTTCCAGGGTGACAAAACTATCGACATTTCCAAAACTTACTTGGGTTTCCCTTACATCATCAATTTTTGCAATCTGACGCAAGTGAGATGTTGTACGGGTTACGTGAGGCCGATAAGACGTATACAACAGGCGCCTTATCCACTGGTCAAAGTCGCGCTGGAAGAATTGCAAGTCACTTCCGGGAGAAGATCCGCGTCGGTTACGGTCAAAAGTTCCACCGTCAAAGTTACACATAAGAAATCGTCTAACGGAAGTACAAAGAAAAACAACAAGAAAGTGAGTTTTTTCTTCAACGCGGTGTTCCTGTATTCGAGACCTCACTTGCGAATTGTCTTTTTCAGAGTAAAAGCGGGGAAACGAATGGACCGACAAATATTGCACGTGTTATTCTCAGTAATTTCAACATATTTGGCAGTAAACATGGCATCGAGAATAATCCCGCGACGAATGTGGAGTCCGGTCAGAAGAGGAAGACCTGGGACACGGTGCTGGACGTCGATTCCAGCAGCACTAAAAGCGGTCGCAGGCCGAGCGTGGACACCGTGTCCACATATTTGAGTCACGAAAATCCAATAGACTTGCTGGACAGCAGCATGGGAAGCGACGACGCGTTCAAGGATTCCATTCTTGGTGTGTGCTTACAAAATACATTACTTGTTTTAGCTATTCAATCATCTATAAATTTACATCTTTAAATTTAATTTTAATATGAGAAAATAACTTATATATTCGCTTAATTAGAATATAAATTTTAATTTTGGTATTTGAATGCATTTGTATATTTATGTTTATCTTTCGGGGTTTTTTTCGAACATCACAGAGTCGAACGTTTGAAATGATACTAATATGTCTAATATTAATTACTCTAGGGATGGACGCTACATCGGACGTGATATCCCAGTATGTGAAAGTGGTGGAAAGCGACGGCTCCGATTCGTGTCCGGTATGCCTGGGCGCTCCAGAGCCATTGACGGTTGAACTGACGCGTTGCAGGCACAGACTGCACTTGGCGTGTTTAAACGCGATGCTTAGCTCCCAGCAGCCACCCATGTATATACAATGTCCAGTTTGTCGTATGATTTACGGCGAGAAAAGGGGCAATCAGCCACCGGGCATGATGAACTGGACGCGGATACCGCGAGCATTACCGGGTTTCCCAAACACCAATACTATACAAATTACTTACGAGTGAGTGAGATAAAAAAGAGAAAGAACGGAAATATTTTCACATATAATTCACGTTATAATGGTATTCTTCAAAGATTTCTATCAACAATTTTAAAAGAACTAATTTTAGATTAATTTTATTTGAAGTAAATAAATTTGATATGAATCTAATTTGAGATAAATATTGGATAATAAATGAGAGAATTAATATCTCTTTCTCTGAATAAATATATATATAAATATATTCAGGGGGAAATATTTATATCAATTTTTATTTTAATTTTCTCAGCATCCCGTCCGGAATTCAGAGTAACGAACATCCCAATCCAGGTCAAGCGTATTACGCCGTGGGCTTCCCCCGTGTGTGTTATCTTCCGGACAATAGTTTTGGTCGCCGTGTATTGAGATTGCTGCAAGTCGCGTTTGAGCGCAGACTGATCTTTACGATCGGCCGATCGGTCACTACCGGTCGCGAGGACGTCGTCACATGGAATGAGATCCATCACAAGACTGAGCTCGGACCATCCACATCCGGTCACGGCTACCCCGACCATAGTTACCTCGAAAGAACGCTCGCAGAACTGGCAGCGCAAGGTGTGACTGATAGGCAATGATCGCCGATACATCAACAATTGCATTTATTGAAATTATTAACATATAAATGAAGTGTTTATACAAAAATAAGTTGACTCATGTAATTCTGAGAAAAGGAATCGAGATTTGGCTGTATTCAGCAGAAAAAGCAACTCTGCAATTATTGTAACATTCTTTAATATGATTTATTAATACATTTGGATCTAATGGGAAACTAAGGACAAAACCAATCATATTAAAAAATTTTACGATAGTTGCAAATCTGTCTTTTCTACTGAACGCAATTATTTATAAAGCTTTGAAATCTTTCTTACTATCGAACACAATTGAAGGCTGATTCATTTTTGCATAGTGTATGAACATTTACGCGGTAAATTTAAGGTCCTTGTTAACACTTTGCTAATTTTCTCAAAAATTTATGAATATATTAGTTCAAAATATGAAAAGTAATTTTTTAAATTTTATTCGATCATTTTGGTTTTTTTAATTTTTTAGTTTATTAAATTTTATATTTATCAATATCAGCTTATTAAAACCTTATCGACAAAGTGTTAACATAAACTTACGTCTTAGAGATAAAAATTAGCACGAAGAAATTGGAGATGTATATTTTAAAACATTTATTTGATCTTTATTCCGTGCTAAGCAAGGAACTGATAGATATATCCTAGAGTTTTAGATTTATATATATATATACTTATATATATATCTTCCATGAAAAACTTCTAGCTCTTTGATATAAAAATCAGAAAAATGCAATTATATAATAGCAAACAATATCTTTATGGAATATTTTTTTATTTACCAAAAAATTATGTAAATTGGAAGCGTAACTTGATCTTTAACTAAGAGCGATTGTTATGATTCCAAATTCTATTTTCAAAAAATTAATACTAAGTTATAATAGTTAAAATCCGAATTATATTATAAAATTTTTGACAAAAATTAATTCTTTTTATTCCCTAAAATCTCGCAAAACCTCTTTTTTCCCCTCACATAAAAACATGCACCGTTATTCGCATTACTATCAACAGTGTCAACTTTTCCGGATATACAGGGTGTTAGTTAAGTATGTTCCCAAACTCAACAGCGATTCTTTGGTTTATTTCAAGTAAAAAAGTCCATATAAATATGTGCCCTAAACGACTTAGTTTCCGAAATACAGGTGAATATTCGCAAATGTTTGACGAAACGATAAATTGCGTTGGAGATATCTTCTTGCATAAATATGCCTTGCTTCATGTGAGTTACTATTCGCACAACCGTAAACAAAGTGACAAAGTCAAAGTCACAAAATCAAAAATAGACTTCAGTCCTGATGTTACTGCGGGTCAGTTAGCTTGTACATACGTTTTCGGGCCAAATTGTTTCAATCCATCAAAATCGGTTTCATCATGCCTAAGTTTACAAATTTTGAAATGGCAGATATGCCCACCCCAATTGAGAATGAGAATGATTTGAGGAATCGAATAGTTGCTTTATGCGAGGCAATACGTAACACATCTGATATCTTTGAGCGTATACGTCAATCTTTGAGAAGAAGGCTCGATGGATGTATCATGGCGTAAGGTGGACATTTTCAACAATTCATCTAATTGTTTTATTTCGTCAGAAGAATTGAAGCCTGTTTTTGTTTTTCTGTTTTTGACTAGTTTTTACTTTTTAACTAGTTCAAGTTGTATTTCTTTCAAATAAACAGATTGTTACTACACGTTTAAATTTTTTTATTTCGGAAACTAAGCCGTTTAGGACACATGTTTATATGGACTTTTTTACTTGAAATAAACCAAAGAATCGCTCTGTTGAGTTTGGAAACATACTTAACTAACACCCTGTATATTTATTTGTGCGTCACGTCCTGGTTAGATGGCGCATCTTTTCAATGCAATTAAAATGGCTGAAAATTGATTTTTTCGTCAGTCCGTTTTTCTCCTAGTGAATTAAGTAAGCTTGATATTCAGCTAAAGTAAGAAAAAAAGTTCTGTCTAGCGTAGGAATAAAAAATAGACCCCGTGTCTCCCGGTCGCAATTCTCTCTTTCTCTCGCTCGCGAGGTTAGGAGATTAGATGGCCGTCAACGAATGGACGAGGATGCAGCGAACATCAGCAAGTATTCGCTTGTGCTGAACGCATCAGTTTACGACGGTCAGGGCGATCTTGTTTCGAATCTCAATGCGGATCTTGCTCGCTCCGTTTACGCAGATTCCGAGCGCCTAAATGAGTACCGGGAGCAAGTACATCTGCGTTCTGTGCGACTCGAAGCTGGACACCAAGGAAGCACTGCAGCAACACTTTAGGTATACACTCATCGCCGTGATAATCAAGTTAAGATTCACGGTCGGTTCAAGTCAATTAATCGTGATTCCGCGATGTTATTAACGAAATCAGTAATATTTTCCAAAATGTGTGTCACGCAATGTAGGGAGAAATTCAAGGAAATAATCCAGATGATTCAAATTAAACATTGAGCATTCACATGACTTGAATCTAAATATATCCCATGTTGTTATGATGTATCAATTTATATTTATGTATGAAACAAGTTGGAAATGTTCTATTTAAAAAATGAGAATAATTTCAACTGAACTCTGATTAACTTGATTGACTGGTAGAATCATTCATTATCAATCTTTTTCAATACATTAAATATTTTTCAATTAATTCTTAATGAATTTAATAGTTTTAGTTAGATATATTATTTAGACAATAAATTGTTTACTTAGGAATAAAATATTGTTGATTGTTAAGTTAATTGGAGTTTGATCAAAATTGTTTTAAAAATAGTAAATGTTACCTTTGGAGATGGAAATTAATGATAAATGAAGATTAAAGTGTATGAAAGAAACAGAGAAAGAAAGAAAAAGAGAAAATATGATTTAAATAAATCTAACCCAGAATCAATGTATTGCAGGATTAAATTTAAAATTTTTAGCTCTATCCCTTTCATTTTTTTATTTTATTAGCCCTTCATTATTTTGAATTATTTTCTATATGAAAAAATATATACTTATGTGTGTATGAAATAAGTATAAAATTTATTATTCATTATCCATATTTATCCAAGTGTTTTGTTTTTTATCATGTTTGGCACAGGCGACATGCAAATAAAGAGATAGATGGTCGTGGGCGACCAATAGAAAGAAAAAGTGATAAAAATACTCTGTGTGATATATGCAATCAGTCGTTTGATTCGATACGGGCAACGATAAGACACAGGTTTAAAATGCATCCCAATTCACCAACCAAATTCCATTGTCCCTATTGTGGACAGCAATTTCCTCTAAAGGTAAATGCTTTATGATACTTTTTTCTTTCCTGTTTTTGTAATAATTTTATGAAAATACGTTTGTTCAGAATCACAGAGATACTCATCAAACTTTGCATGATGTAACTGAAAGTGAGAACAAAGATCAACACAGAAAATGTGAGGAGTGTGACTTATTATTTTACAATAAGAAGGCATTGGAATATCATTGTAAATCTATTCATAAAAGGTAGCATTTTATCAGTCGATCCACTTTCAAGAATGTATATTTATGAAATTATTATCTGATTGTATTATTTTTCAGAATGGTACACTTATTTCAACCGATAGCCACTCCTCCGCCTAGTAACAAAATCAAATTCAACTCTATGAATGATGCAATGAACGTATACTATTGTCATTTATGTGGTGTCGAATATGTTGTAAAATTCAATTTGCAACAGCATTTGGAAAGGATACACACGAAAGTAAGAAAGATAAATAAAACTAATTATCTCAAGAGCTCAATTAATTGATTTATTGTTTTAAAACGAAATATCTAAACCTCACTTGTAACTAAACAATATAAATGTAACCCAAGAGTATATGAGCAATAACTAGGTTACATATGAGCGATAACTAGTTGCTAAAACATAATATTTCAAATAACATTAAATAAAATAAAATATATGTTTTAGTAATAAAATAAAACATACAGAACATTCGGTCATTATCAATGTTGTTACAATAAATATAAGATTACATCCTAAAATGTTGTATACGCAAGTTATACTAAACGGCTATAATTACATATCATTAATTCAGTTTCAAAAAATAAAGTGATAGTACGCAAATTGATGTACGAAACCTGCATAATCTCTATTATCGCACATGTCCATAGGTGTATGATACATTATTGAAAGCAAGATAATACAATGTGCTCAGAACTCCACAAAGACTAGTCGATTGCATTAGTCCTAGTCATGGTATATTCACAAGAATCTTCACAAATTATACATTAGTGTGAAATCTATAAGTACATAGTAAACAATAAAGGTGTAAAAATTCTTATGAGATCTATAATATATAATAAAATTATATATGTAATTATCAGGGATGGGAAGTAACTCGTTACTTGTAACGAAGTTACAGTTACAGTTACTTTTTTTCAGTAACTGTAACTTAACTTCGTTACTTTCTTTCCAT